TTTCCTCTGGGGCCGGCCCGGCGGGCTGGGGTCACAACCCGATCAAATAAGATCAAGGTGTAGACGGGGGGAGGGCCGTAGGGGGTGTCACGCACTCGCCTTGCACGCCCCACGCACGCTCACATCCACCCACACACACACTCGGCCGCACGCGCCATCCACGCGACACCGCAGCACCACTCACAGCACCCGCACCCCAGGCCGCGCTCCCTCCCGTGAGGGGGCGGAAGTCCGCACCCCCTTTTAAAGGCCTCTGCCCCTCCCCCCGCGGAGGAGGATTCTGGGAGGAACCACCAGCACAGGCCCTCGCCGATGGCGCGCTTTGCTGCCCCCTCGCGGCTCGGAGGGGAAGCCATGTCGCAGGGACAGGCGGGACAAATGCTCACAATACTGAGTCATTGTGTTCTTTTGATTTTTGTGCGGCTACATATTTATATTCGTTTCTGTCGTTTTTCTTTGAACTTTGATCCCAAGTTCTGGATAGAAGACGATTCAATCTCAGTAATAGGTGAATGCCTCCTTCCCCACGGAGAAGCAAATCCTGGTCTTTACCAACATCAGCTTCCCGGAGTGCCTCTCCCTTCACATCGTCTACCAAAGGGAAAGTGAGACTAGATTAGGTGTCAGGGTCTGTGAGATGAGTGAAGGTAGGAAGGCTGTCCCTGGCCTCAGAGCCCTCTCGCTCCCCAGAACTTGATGCTGTGGCAGTCATACTGCTGACCCTTTGTTTACTTGCATATCCATTAAAACACGTCAGACCTCCAAACTCCAGAATGAGTAAACTGAAAAACAGACGCGATTATGTGAGTAGAATTAGTTCCTTTTACAATCAGAGCATCTAGGCATGTGCCCTTGACTGGGAATCGAACCCATGACCTCCTAGTTCGTGCAGGTTGGTGCTCTACCCACTGAGCTACATGGGGCAGGACATAATTGCCCTCCTTTCAGTCACTGGGCCTGGGGCTTTAGGGATAGAGCTGTCCAGCTGCTCTGTGCAGACTGTGTGTTTCCGGCTGCAAATCAGATTTTTGGACACAGGTAGAAAATGATTTGTGAAGTTATAGTTTATACTTTTGCCAGCCTTGCCATGCAGTTGGGATAAACACATAGGGGAAAGCATCCAATGTATGTGTCGGAATCCCACTGGCTCAAGGGTTTTCTATGTGTGTAGTTGGTTAACCTAATATCATTTGAATGTTTATGGCTGGTAAGGGCAGATGGTACTTATATTTTAATAGCGGTAGTATGTAAAATGTATTGGGGAGTAATCTACCTTACTTGATACACCTCAAAATTTACATATATATATATTCATATATATGCTGATATATACAGTATAAGTTGGTATATAGATCAGCTCCCCCCAAAGGAGAAAGCTCTCATAGATCCTGAACTATACGATACATTCACAGGGGTCAGCACAAATGATGGTATTAATTTATTTAAACTAAAAAGGTATACTATGGGCAGAACCCAAGGGAATATGGAACGAAGTTCATTAACTTCAGCATGTGACAAATAA